CGCCAGGGCCACCAGCTGTCCCTGCAACGCCGACAGGTAGGCTGAATGGACTGCTACTTTAAGTTGTTGAGCCGCAAGACCGTAACATTCTTCAATGACCGGTAGGCAGACTTCAGCGGCAGTGACGTACTAGCCGGAAAAGGGGAGACGCCTGCCCTGCCTGGCCGAGGCCAGGGAAGACGGCGATCTACCTCCCCTGCGCGTGATTGAGGCAAAGACGCGATTCGGCCCACCACTGGTGGTTCGAAGAGCGCCTCCGCACTCCAACTGGTACCGCCGGCGACTTCAGGCAAATCAAAACGCGATCGAAGTACCAGCCAGGAGCGGATTCACCACCTCACTGACCAGTGATGGGAGAATGCGCAAGCGCGCCTCTGCGACCTGGTTGGTGCAACGCCCCCGGAGCCGAAACTCCGCTGGGTCGGGTGCCGGGGCGGAACAGCCACCTGCGGCAGGACTTCGCCGATTTTCTCCCCAACCTGCCGCAGGGACGAGGCAAAGGAGCACGCACTCCCCGGCCCGATTCCACCGGCCCCTTCCTCCTCCTCCATATCGACTCGGCAGAATCCTCGGCGCCATAATCTCAGACTCCTGAGAGCGCCGAGGAGACGCCAGAGGCAGGACCAGAAAACTCATAAGGTCAAGAGGAGCCAGGGGAAAAACATCGCCTCTGCCGGGAGGAACTCAGCCAGGTCGCCGAAGTCACCGAGAGGAACCTGCCGCAACAGGCTTCCCCGGCAACCCCGACTGGCTGCCGGGCCGAGGTATCCCCGAACTGGTCGGCGCCAGGCGCACCGCCAGTCGGGACACCAGGCAATGACAGGGGCAACCCTGTATCGCCGCACCAGGCACCTGTGACAGACCAGTGCATAAAGCCAGGTCGCCACCAGACGCCAAGGGCATGCCGTCACCAGGGCCGGCCAGGATCAAGCCGCCGGGGAGGCGCGTCTCGAGCCGGAGCTCGGGCCGCAGCTAACCCCAGATGTGTCAGCCCCGCCGACGCACCGGCGCGCTGAGCTCCTTACGGAACCCCGCTAACGCCGTATCAATCAGGGACTTGACTGACGGCATCTGCTCCTGGAAGAAAACGCGGTTACGAATCAACAGGAACACTTTTACAGGTGCTGAATCAAGAGGGGGGTGGGCGGGTACAGAGACGGAAGCAGTAGGAGATGCAGAAGGGGCATGAGTGCGTGAAGACGAAGCCGCCTTGGTCGCCTTTAGCTTTCTTGGGAGCGGCTCCGTGAAGCTGGCTCCGTGGACCCTTTTTACTATGGGAGCGCTTGACGGGGATCCTGTGCCCAGAGATCACCCCCACCAAGCAGGTTGCCGTAAAACAGCGCAGTCTATCCGGGCCACCGAATGGTTTGGGCTTGCGAGAACTTGGCACATGCCGCACACCCTCTTCCTCATGTTCCTTCTGCACTAAACAGCGTAAGCAGACTGTGGGTATCCCGTGACGGGAATTGCAGCAAGGCACGGTACAGGGTTTAAACTGCAACAAGGAAAACCCGTGCAGCAATCCACCCTATACCCACATACAAATACATGTAAAAGACGCGTAGGCGACACAACTAATGCGACAACGTAGCATGCAGTTGACAACCTAGTACATACTGCAGCATAACCAACAATTACGGGTTTTAGCGTAATATAGAAAATGCGAGCAGTAGACATACACCTACACGCATAAAGATACAAATAAAAAATCACTAAAACCACCTGTAACATTGAAAAACCACAGGGGAAACCAATGAACAGGAAGGCTAGCTTCAAGGCACCTGTCCGCCATCTTGCCACGCGACTAGCGAAATGACCGGCGACAGGTACCAAGTTACAACGAAATTATGAATGAAAAAATTCAGAAAACACCTCCAATTCGCCATGCAGGGAAAAGAGAACCATACATACAGTTGCCGCTTTCTGAAACACTCATAACTCTCTTAGTCGCAAGGAAAAACCTTCTGGTATGGACCCACGTCTTGTCGGTACAACGACAGCATGGAAAGTGAGGTACGAGGTTACGGTCTAGAGTTACCTGCTCTTGGCTGTAGGGGGCCGGAAGGCCCTGTAAGGGTGGTCTCACAAGACAAAACGTAGTTTTTGTTTTGTAAATATTTTATTCAAATATTGTTACAACTGTCGTAGGGAATTTAAATGGACATTTAAATGCTTATAAGTACCCCAAGGAGGAATATATAAAAAAGAATTTGTGATTTGCCCTTGAACAGCTTCGTGTTGGATACCAGGCGCCATAGAAATCCATTATCATTATTATCATCATTATATGTCAGAAGTTTGTAAAAAAACAACAAATCCTCATACTGCTGCATGGAGTGGATGAAATAATCAAAGACACAGATGAATAGTGTGATCACACAAGTTTCACTGTAATTTGGATATTGACAAACAAGTTAATAATAGTGTAGTTTTTAAGTTTGGATTTCAAATTCTATAATACAGCCTTTGTCTCTTGTACAGACCAAGAAATAAACATATCCCCAGAACATCCACAATTCTACAAGTCATAACTTCTTTTTGAAAATGACAAGATTCTAAAAGATTCTTTCCACAATATATTAATGACAAATTATTCAAAGCAATCATAAAATAATTTTATTTCAGAGATAAGAAACTCCTGCGTAAATGTGTTGAAATTTTAATTTAAAAAACTCCATCGTAGTAATCGCGTATTCTATTTCCCGTTATACGTAATGTTATAAAGTATGGTTTGGCCCTGAACACAAGGACACTTACACAATACACTCACTGCATCAGAATTCATCTTGTTATATTATTGGGTATGTATTAACTAAATCACTGGTAGATTGCAGGGAAAACATGTGGACAGCTGATTGCTATTTCCAGCTCTGTGTACGAGACAAATACAAATTCATATAACACAATGCATATCAAAACAAATTAGAACTGAAAAGGTAAATCATTTTGTCTAGTGATGTTTATTTGCAAATATGATGCCTACACTGACAAAGTCGGTTTCTCTTGTTCGTTCACACGAAGAGATATGTTGTCATTTCCTTACACCAAAAAATAAGCTTGACGAAAGTGTAACCTGTGGATAAGCCAATCCCCTTCCACAGACAGCTTGTTCTAGTCCTAAACATCTGGTTTATCTCTGGTCATATATGGTAATTTATTTCCAAGACACTGAATGTTAGACTAGCCTTGGGTTTCATTTGAGACAAGTTTATGTGAACTATGTGTAGCTTTCATTGCACAATAAATAATGATTGTCGTTTCCCTTTGTCAAGATGGGTTACACTGAAAGGTGCAACATGGGGTTGAACAATACCAAGTAATATATAACATGTGCATCTGGACAGGAAAATATGTTTTTAATTAGAGTCCTTTCCCTTTTTCTATATACCATCACAAATTTAATTCAGAATCAGAATTAAAACTGAATTACACATCAAATTGAAACAAGAGTCATCAGAAGATGACATATCCCCCCGGCCCCGACATCTTTGAAAGAACAAATCATCTGACAGTTACTTAAAGTCCAGCTTGATTTTAGACTAAGTCCAAATTGTTTCCATGGAAACTGAGAAAATAATAAATCACAAATATCTGCAAATAGCATCTGCCTCACATATCTGCTAAGTTTTGCTGAAAGATATTAAGAAGTTTTCGAGTTGTGCTCCGGAAACGAAGCCCACCCCTCACTTTTGGGACTAAGTCTGAATCGTTTCCATGGAAACCGGGAAAATAAAAATGCCAAAATCTGCAAATAGCAAAAGGCACCACTTTAGGATCTGTTTGATATATCTACCAAGTTTTGTTGAGAAATACTGAACGGTTCTTGAGTTATGCTCCGAGAAACTAAAAGCAATCCTTACTTTTGAGACTAAGTCCAAAATGTTTCCATGGAAACCGGAAAAATAAAAATGACAAAAATCTGCAAATACCAAAAAGGCACCACTCAAGGTTCTGTTTCATATATCTACCAAGTTTTGTTGAACAATATTGAACGGTTCTTGAGTTATGCTCGAAACGGCTTCCCACCCCTCACTTTTGGGACTAAGTCCTAATCGTTTCCATGGAAACCGGGAAAAATAAAATGACAAAAATCTGTAAATAGCAAAGGCACCACTTTAGGATCTGTTTGATATATCTACCAAGTTTTGTTGAGAAATACTGAACGGTTCTTGAGTTATGCTCCGAAACGGCCCACCCTTCTTTAAGACTAAGTCCAAAACGTTTCCATGCAAACCGAGAAAATAAAAATGACAATAATCTGTAAATAGCAAAAGGCACCACCTTAGGTTATGTTTGACATATCTACCAATTTTGGTTAAAAAATATCGAACGGTCTTTGAGTTATGCTCCGGAAACAAAATGATTACGGACGGACGGATGGACGGACGGACGGACGGACGGACGGACAGACGGACGAGGCAACGACTATATCCCACCGCATTACATGCCGGTGGGATAAAAAATAATTGATGGATATGACAAACAAAAGAAATAGGAGACCCAAGGCCATTTTTTTCTTTTAAAACATTATCTAAATTTTGATAGGATGGCTTGGGTTAGAAACACAGAAGCTTTTCCCCAGTCCTTCCTGTTGAAAACAGAGAGAGTGACGAGTCACCAGCTGGTTGCATGGGAGGCTAGTGTGCATGCACATGGAGGGGTGCATTCGCGATGATGGTTGTAATGTTCATGGGGAACATAACAAAGAATGTTTCCAACATATCTCAGACAAAGGGAGAGGGAAACATAGGATAACGAAAAATAAATAATGATAATGATACAATGATAATTCCATGAACAGCCCATTCAATAATAAACACACCAAAAATGGGGCAAACCACCATAAAATCAGTGACATCTCGCAACAATGCAAACAAGCTGTCATATCAGAAAACGGCAGTGAGACTTAATGTCCAATAGTTTTTTTGAGACAAATGCAAAAAAGTCACACCACTTAAATTGTAGTCATTAAAAACTGTATTGACCAAAGAGAATCTTACTTGATATCAATCCTGAGCTTTTCAAGTGCACAGCCATACTGCTGGACGTAGAAGGACCAGGGCGTCGCTATCTCACTGACGATAACGGGGATGACTGGTCCGACGGTGAGTGTACAGTGTGAGATGGTTGGACCAAGTCCGTAGTCAAATGATGCTCCCCCAACAACTGATCTGTAAGGTGTGTTTGGTGTGAAGACACTTGTTGGACCTTTGTCAGATGCTTTCTCTGGAACATCTTCAGCTGTGAATAACAATGATAAATTTAATCCATGAAACATAAAATGATCAAATACTTAAACAGTATGAATCTTAAAATAATGAATCATTTATGTGAGGTGAGGTGAGGTGAGGTGAAATTGGGTTTAACGTCGTGCTTGAGAATATTTCGCTCATATGACGACGTGCATGCGTGTGTATGTGTATGTGCGGCTGCTTGTACTAGCCCAGACTGAAGCTGGTTTTATAGTGCTAGCCCACTGAGATAACATGCCGCAGTGAAGCATGAATACCCCACTCAGACACATTATACTCACTCCGAGCCGACCAGTCCTTGTTGTACCCATTAATGCCGAGCGCCAGACAGGGACCAACAAGTACCATATTTTAACGTCTTATGGTATGACGCGGTCGGGGATCGAACCCGCGACCTTCCGCTCTAACCACTACACCACAGAGGCGGTCGAATCATTTATGTACTGCCTAATGTATGGACAGCACAGAAATGGTGACATGCATTTGCTTACAATATTTTCAGGCATTTTAGAAGCTGGGAAGTACAAACTAGACAAACTTTATGGATATCAACTTCTTTAATTGGTGAGTGCCATGTTTCGACATTCCTGCTTAAGAACAGTACAACAAGGTGTATGGAAACGTCGCACTCAACATATAAACAAAGTTGTTATCCATAAAGTTTTTACAGCTTACAATATTGTCAAACTTTTCCAAGTATCAACACACAAATTACCACAAAGTCATTGATAAAGACAAGGTGAGGTGAAATTGGGTTTAACGTCGTGCTTAAGAATATTTCGCTCATATGACGACGTGCATGCATGTGTATGTGTATGTGTAGGTGCGGCTGCTTGTACTAGCCCAGACTGAAGCTGGTTTTATAGTGCTAGCCCAATGAGATACCATGCCGCAGTGAAGCACGAATACCCCACTCAGACACATTATACTGACTCCGAGCTGACCAGTCCTTGTTGTACCCATTAATGCCGAGCGCCAGGCAGGGACCAACAAGTAGCATATTTTAACGTCTTTTGGGTATGACGCGGTCGGGGATCGAACCCGCGACCTTCCGCTCTCCGGGCGGACGCTCTAACCACTACACCACGGAGGCAGTCTCTGATAAAGACAAACCAGGACATGATGTCAAGTTGAATCTAAATGGAAAATAATTTCCATGCAAATTGGGATACGATGACATGTATCAGCCAAGTCGTGAGCCTGACACCCCGAGCCTGTTAGTCATCTCTTACGACAAGCATGGGTTGCTGAAGACCAATGCTAGCCAGGACAGTCCATGGATCTTCTTCCTTAGGACTAGTAATATACAATTATTATGACAATACGGCATCTCTAAATAAACAGTAAAGTTTAAAATTATTCGAAACATCTTTTAATGGACACGATACAAAAGAGTTTTAGGTTACCGCAATATGTACCGTACCGTGGTAAGAGCGTACCGTTTCACCCCTAATCATATCGCAGCTTTGGGGATGGGTTACACTGGTCAGTATGCCATACTGAGAACTTCACACAGTAATACCTCCAAACAAATACTATCAACAATTTTCTGCCTACCTTCAGCTTTGGGGATGGGAGGGAGGGTTACACTGGTCAGTATACCATACTGAGAACTTCACACAGTAATACCTCCAAACAAATACTACCAACAATTTTCTGCCTACCTTCAGCTTTGGGGATGGGAGGGAGGGGTTACACTGGTCAGTATACCATACTGAGAACTTCACACAGTAATACCTCCAAACAAATACTACCAACAATTTTCTGCCTACCTTCAGCTTTGGGGATGGGAGGGAGGGGTTACACTGGTCAGTATACCATACTGAGAACTTCACACAGTAATACCTCCAAACAAATACTACCAACAATTTTCTGCCTACCTTCAGCTTTGGGGACTGTTCCTTGATCTCCAGCCTGATCTAAAGTTGTCACATCAGCAACATGACCTACTTGTGCTAACAATTCTAACTGGTGAGAATCTCTTTCACATGACATATCCACAGCACCATCACTACATCCAGCTTGTGTACTGTAACGGACAGGGTTGTCTCCCTTATTCTCCAAGGCTACAGAGTTACCTCCTTTGTTCTTCTTCCCCTGTTCATCGGTGGTCACTCCATCAATTTCAATGTCTAATTCCTCCAATACATTGGGCTTTGTGAGTTTTAAGGAAATGGCCGAGTTAGATAGACGTTCATTTTCAAGGACTCTTTCAGTTGACCTTCTTGGTTCTACGTCATTATCACTTTCTACGTCCTTGGACGGCTTGGAGGTGGAATGATAATCCCGGTCATGTCCTTGTGTTTCAAAGGATGAGATGGTTTGCGGCTTGACGAACTCTTCCACAGATGTTGTCTCATTGTTGGAGGTGCTTTCTGTATTGGCAACAATAAAGGACCAGTGACATTATTTAGCACAATACTGCAAGACAAGCCCTGATAGCCCTATTACATGAGTCAGTGGGTGAGGTGAGGTGAAATTGGGTTTAACGTCGTGATTGAGAATATTTCACTCATATGACGACGTGCATGCATGTGTATGTGTATGTGCGGCTGCTTGTACTAGCCCAGACTTAAGCTGGTTTTATAGTGCTAGCCCACTGAGATACCATGCCGCAGTGAAGCATGAATAGCCCACTCAAACACATTATACTGACTGCAGTGAGTGAGTGAGTTTAGTTTTACGCCGCTTTTAGCAATATTCCAGCAATATCACGGCGGGGGACACCAGAAATGGGCTTAACCCATTGTACCCACGTGGGGAATCGAACCCGATCTTCGGCATGACGAGCGAACGCTTTAACCACTAGGCTACCCCACCGCCCCTATACTGACTCCAAGCCGACCAGTCCTTGTTGTACCCATTAATGCCGAGCGCCAGGCAGGGACCGACAAGTACCATATTATAACGTCTTTTGGTATGACGCAGTCAGGGATCGAACCCGCGACCTTCCGCTTTCCGGGCGGACGCTCTAACCGCTACACCACGGAGGCAGTCTCATTGGGTGAGTATGGTTTTAAGACATTTTAGCAATATCATGCAGGAACACCAGAAATGGGCTTAACACATTGTACCCATGTGGGGAATTGTACCCGAGTCTTCAATGAGACAAGCGGACGCTTCAACCATTAGGCTACCACCCCTATTATGTGACTATTATATGCCAGTCAGCAAGAAGTAGCCTGAAGGTGTGTGTGGCCAAAGTCACTTTTTGTTCATGAAACAACATAAAGTCAAATGACACAAAATCAATTGCACGTGACATGACCTTCCGTCACATGAGTGAGGTCAGGACATGTGACATGCACATTTGAATGGCCAGGTGGCCGATCCAAGTAGTCGCCTAACACCCTTGACAGTTAAGATGTTATTGTGTCTTGACATAATGATAGCTCATATAGACAACTTTTTTGTTATTAAATCACAGGGCTGGAAATAACTTTAAAATTGCTAGTGTACTCCGGTACAGTGGCACAAGTAAAATCACTTGCCCTGATAATTTTTCCACTATATACTGGCCGATCTTCTTGTTGATTTTTTAAATAAACAACATAATTAACATTGAAAAGTCAACTGGACACCGGTACAGTGTGATGGACAAATATGCTTGCCCGACAGAAAAAAACACTGGACTCGGGCGTCGGGCAATGGGTTATTTCCACCCCTGAATCATAATTCATGAAATTCAAAATTCACAATGGTAGAACAATTATAATGCATCATGCCAAATTAGAAAACGATTGTACTTGTAGTTTTTGAGTAAAGTGACCAAACACCGTCACGAAAAGTCTTCTGCCAGACTATTCTGGTTCAAGCATTCTTTCATCACACTGATGGTCTGGGTTCGATGCCAAAATGGATACTTTGTATGAAGCCCATTTCTTGTGTCCCCTGCTGTGTATTGCTGAAATGCTGCTTAAAGTGGTGCAAGTCCATACTCGCTCACTCTTAAATATCCTCTATCATAGCACCCCTTTTTAACTGGGGTGTCCACCTCTTGAACTCACCTATCATGTCCTCGGCAGTGGCTGTGAGCAGCGTGCAGGTGTTGAGGCATCGATCCAAGTCCTGCATCACATCTACGTAGCGTTCCATGAACAGGTTCGGGTCAGATATCGACAACAGGTTCTCCGCTGAGGACTCTGCCTAGAAAGAAGATACAAGCAATCAGAGATAGACTGGAGCTGCATTCCTGTATACCACAGTACACAGACGTTTTGGTGTCCAGGCAGAAAATAGAAACTGCTGTCAGTCACCATTTTTTGTTTTTGTTTTTTGTTGTTGGTTTGTTTTTTGTTTTTTTGGGGGGGAGAGAGAGAGAGAGACACTATTATCCTGTCCCAAGTGACAACGACAGTGACTACTGGGTCTATGAGGATGAGGACGACGACCGTTTTGTGGAGGATATTCACCCCGTGAGGAAGGTGCTGAGGAGAGTGGCTGCCTTCTTTAGGAGAGTATTCTCGTAGATTCCTCGTCCAGTGTGTGTGTGTGTGTGTGGTGTGTGTGTGCGTGCTTGCGTGTGAGTTAGTGTGTGCATGTGGCAGTGAATATGTAGGTGTGAGAACGTGTTTATGAAGTTTGATTGGATGTAGACGTGTATGTGTGCGAGAGTGCTTGATGTATGATAATGTGTGATTGTGAAAGAATGCGCCTTTTATGTTTGAAGAGAGAGAGATAGAGAGAGAGAGAGTGATATTCTTCTTTATCTGTTATGTAGATGAGTGAGAATGCTTTTATGTTTGGAGAGAGAGAGAGAGAGAGAGAGAGAGAGAGAGAGAGAGAGAGAGAGAGAGAGAGAGAGAGAGAGAGAGAGAGAGAGAGAGAGAGAGAGAGAGAGAGAGAGAGAGAGAGAGAGAGAGAGACAGAGAGAGAGAGAGTTCTGAGATGTCTACAGCTTGCTACCTGCTCCACTAACCTGCGAAACATACTGTGCAATCGAGGACTGAAGGATGTCCTGCTGTTCTCGGAGTGCCTCCATCTTCTCCCCAACCTTCCTCTGGAGCAGCAGCAGATGCTTCTGCTTCACCTTTGACCCCATTTTCACTGGAACGACATCACAAAACAAACACGTTTCATACAATATCAATTCAGGTCATGGCTGTCTAATAGTGGTGTTATTATGTTACACGATACATATCCCAATACTGTGGGTACAATACAATTTGTGCCATGGAGTAGCCTAGTGGTTAAAGCATTTGACCTTCATGCTTAAGACCCGGGTTTGATTCACCACATAGGTACAATGTGTGAAGCCCATTTCTGGTGTCCCCCACCGTGACATTGCTAAAACTTAACTCACTCATCGCAATACGATTTGCATACTGAAATACATGTAGTACTTTTATCATGCAAGTTTGATTAGTCAGGACAGGACAATCCAATGATTAATTTAATAGAGTGAGCAATGACCCAGACAGTCTGGTTACCAGGCAACCAACAACCGATCTTGACAACCTGATCACAACCACCTCTTAGAGACAGCATAAGTTAAAAAAGTTATATTTTTCAGTTTCTCGTAGACTAAAGATAATGGACCATTTTGCATGGCGAATAATGACATTTGTGAAAGAATCCCCTGAGCATGTGCTAGTTCACTGTTGCTGTGACTGAGCCGTGCCGTGATTTATTAACAAAAGCTACTTATAATTATTCACATGTAAATTGTTATTACAATGAAAATCTATATTCAACACAAGATTAATTAACAAGTGACAAGTCCATTAGTCCCTCTACTACTCCATTGTTGAAGTTCGATGTAATAATTTTCATTCACATGTGGAGCCATGATGATCCCCATTAGAATTGGTCTTCAGCATCCCAAGCTTGTCGTAAGAGGCGACTAACTGATTCAGGTGCTCAGGCTCGCTGACTTGGTCGACAGATGTCATTGTATCCGTATTGCGTAGAAAAATGCTCATGCTGTTGATAACTAGATTGTCTGGTCCAGACTCTATCATTTACAGACAGGACCATATAGCCAGAACATTGCTGAGTGTCTCTTTAAACAACAACAAACCACAGGATCAGAGACACCCTGGGAACCTGGGTCTCACTCAGTACCAACACGAACTGCTCCTCCAAGCCCCTGAACCAAATGAGACCGCCTCCGTGGTGTAGTGGTTAGAGCGTCCGCTCGGGAGAGCAGAAGGTCGCGGGTTTGATCCCCGACCGCGTCATACCAAAAAGACGTTAAAATATGGTACTTGTTGGTCCCTGCCTGGCGCTCGGCATTAATGGGTACAACAAGGACTGGTCGGCTCGGAGTCAGTATAATGTGTCTGAGTGGGGTATTCATGCTTCACTGCGGCATGGTATCTCAGTGGGCTAGCACTATAAAACCAGCTTCAGTCTGGGCTAGTACAAGCAGCCGCACATACACATACACACGCATGCATGTCGTCATATGAGCGAAATATTCTCAAGCACGACGTTAAACCCAATTTCACCTCACCTCACCTGAATCAAATGCATACAAACCTGTGCAGTATTGGGGTATTGTGTGTTCATCATATTTTCTGGTATTTTCTGTCATAACAATATTCAGGAGATATAATAGAAACCATTCTTTAGTGTTTGATTTTGAACCCGTACACATAGTGCATACAAACTTCAGTGAAGCATTGGTCACAGGAAATCAGAAAGACTCAATTTTTAAATCATTTGTTGTAGTGTGCGTGATCACAGACCATATATGGTCTCTGGCATGATTTACTGTTCTGTTGAAATGTGTAGGATTCTTATCATTACATTGCAAAGTTATTGGTGACTGATATATCTAGACTGTCATCTGTGGGGTTGTAGTCAGAAGGGCCATAGGACAACAGGGACAAAATTGAAAAAGTCAAAAAGGGCCAAAGAAAAGTGAAAAGAGCCACAGATTTAAGTCAAAAGTGCTATCGATCAAATTTAAATAAGGACATATTCCGTTATGATTTCCTTTGTTAAGGCATCTTTTTTAATGGTTAATTTCATGCATGAAACCAGAGTATGGTCTCTGATGAAACGTTTGAGGTGATTTTGTTTTGTTGATATTAAAAGGTTTTCTGCACAGTTGTATAACTTGTCAAACATTATGAGAGCAAGAATTGAACTCTAGTTTCTAGTTCATCGTGAACATTTCTGTATTTTGGGTGTTGTCCAGGATAAACACACACAGTATGGGAATTACAAAGCACGCGTATTGACAACAACACGTATCATTGCAAAATAATGACGCATTGTGCACCTTATTTATCTAGTTGCAAACTGTGACATTTCATTAACATTCCTTGTTGACGGGTAATATCTGTGATTTCGCGCCAGCGTGCTTCTGTGACATGTGCATTCGGCATTTGTTGACATCAAACATTGTGCTTCTCCAAGCTCCTCACAGCGATAAATCATAAAGTTACCGGGAAGCATTCGTGAAAGCTCGTGACATTCCGCAGGGAACGGAAAGATGCGAGTGCATTCGTGACCCACTCGTGTTATTCCGGGACAAGCCGAATACCGTCTTCTTGGAGGTTACGGAAAGGGGCGAGTGGTGACGAATGATGCGAGTGGTGACGAATGACGCTGGGCCCCGTCTATCTCAAAGCAAGTTGGCGCACGTAAAGGGAACCAGTTTTACATAAAACGCCGGCAAAGGACTTAACTGGGCCCCGTCTCTTATATACCACCATAAGCGTCAGTAAGCCGATCCCGAAATAGCCGACCCCCCCCTTTTGAAAATGACTTAAGACCCCCTGACACCACACACACACACTGGATCTGCCCATGTGGAAGATCGTACACATTGAAAACTAGACAAACGAATTACATGTTTTAGTTTCTGCTTGAAACGCTGTTCAAACTACTATTTCTCTGAAACCAAAATAGAGCGGTCTTTTATAGCAATACTGTTCTATACATGTCTGTATTCGAATATAAGGGATTTGTTCAAACACGAAAACAAGGAAATTCACCTTATTTGAATATTTCAAGAGTACATTATCAGTTATGCTTAATGGACTGTATTAGAGATCAAACGTGTTGATTGATTGATTGAAACATATTTTATTCAATTAAGAAACGGATTGGGCACAAGTTATCCAACTTAAATAAGCCCTCTCCACATAGTTACAAGTGTATATTACAAAAAAGTTCAACAAGAGGCAGACAAAAGGTATAGATATGTACAGACAGAGTTATTTAAATCGTTTAGTGTTATGGATGTAGATATGTACACTTTTAAAAACATTCTGATTTTCGCTAAGCTAGAGACCTGCATTGCCATTTAAGATGAGATTAATATCAATACATGCTCTATTATTCACTATATTTTCTAAAGAGGTTAACATTTGTTCTCTTTGAATTATATATAATGGACATTCAAGAAAATAATGAAAAGCATTTTCACAATTATGGCCACACTGACAAAGTGCATCATTTCTAACATTAATTCTGAATAAATCATAATTAAGTGAAAAAATCCTTTTTTTTTAGGATTGTGTCCTTTACATTATGTCATTTGGCAAATGCAAGATAATAAACTGTTTCCTTAAAAATACGATTTTAGACAGGCTGGCTTAAGAAAGAGGTACTCTGGCGACAGCAGAATTTTGTACATGTTGTCTACTTTAGACAACTGCAAATATACAGCTGTTGAAACATTTCTCATATGGGAAAAGGAAACTAAATGTTTTGCATACAAGATTAAGATATATGACAAGTACACTTAATTATGATTTATTCAGAATCAAACGTGTAAATATACTCACTTCTGATTTCGGCTCATAATAATGACTTGAAACCTTTATCGGGACACAGAACAAAGCCGTCTGAATGATTCTAGAACCTCACGCCAATGGCATTTTATTTATTATCCACTCACAAGCGTCAATACCATAATTTTGTGTCTCCCTTTCGTTTCAATATCAAACTAGAAATATTAACTACCATTAATAGTCGTGTTATGTAACATGGTGGGAACTGTATGTAAATAAAAAAATAACTACAATGTTTCCACAGCTGTATATTTGCAGTTGTCTAAAGTAGACAACATGTACAAAATTCTGCTGTCGCCAGAGTACCTCTTTCTTAAGCCAGCCTGTCTAAAATCGTATTTTTAAGGAAACAGTTTATTATCTTGCATTTGCCAAATGACATAATGTAAAGGACACAATCCTAAAAAAAGGATTTTTCAAAGAATTTCATCCTATGACAGCAAATTATCCTCATTCTACACTATAGTGAACAAAAACTTTACTGTCTTTCAGTGGCATTTAGAAGTTGTACATTGATGTCCAAGATATTTTTTATGGATTAAACTTCTTTTTTAATTTCTCTCACAACGTTTCGAGACCATTCCAGGTCCCTTCATCAGGTATTAATTAGTTATACAACTATTCATCACCTGATGAAGGGACCTGGAATGGTCTCGAAACGTTGTGAGAGAAATTAAAAAAGAAGTTTAATCCATAAAAAATATCTTGGACAAAAACTTTACTGTCATTAATAATGTTGTGTATTTTGGTGCAATTGATTATATCCGTTGACCCTTGAAGGTACGCAGAGTAGCAAAAAGTAGCGTTTTGTTTTACCCACATTGTGTGGAAACAATCCTGTTGTTAGGTGGGTGGTTAATTGTGAGAGGTACTTTTAATATAACAGATACTTTACCAGCTATACCGGCTCCCAGCTTTGGCGCAAGTTGACGACGCGCAAAGGGAGCCGGGAACCTGCTTAGATCCAATCTGGTTCCCGGAGTATTATGCGCAACATACTCCGAAAACCAGATTGGCATCGATCGATTTGAGTGGTAGATCTAATATCTGATCTAATATCTAATATCTCTCTTTCCACGTTGTCGACTACCGACGTATTTCCGTCGTGTACTGAGTGAAAGGTAGGTTGTGGGAGCATTGTTGTCACATTGGAAAATCATACAGCAATATTATTAGTTAGCAATCGAAACATTCTTACCGTACCTTGTGCGTAATGCAATCAAAGTTTTCACTCACCAAGCACAGTAACTACAACTACTCGTCTGCCCCTCTATGACAGGGGTGGAGTTGGGCGAGATATCAAAATCATACAAAATGCGTATAATTAGGATACCTCAAAAACTGGTGAAGATAAAGGGTAGAATTGATCTTCAGCAACCCTTGCTTCAATGCTTGTGGTAAAAGGCGATTAACGGGCGGAACTCTTACCCTGGGGGATCAGGCTCGCTGACTTGGTTCACACATTTCATCGAATCCCACTTGCTTAAATAGATGCTCATGCTGTTGATCACTGCATTGTCAAGTCCAGACTTAGTTCATATGAATAAACTCGTATTCCACCTACTTGCTTAAATAGATGCTCATGCTGTTGATCACTGCATTGTCAAGTCCAGACTTAGTTCATATGAATAAACTCGTATTCCAGCCAAGGTCGAGCACACCTTGGTAAAGTGCAAAGTCGTCTAGTTATATGCTGGACTAGTCCAGACTCGATTATTTACTGATATAGCCATATAGCTGGAATATTGCTGAGTTCAACGAAACCAAATGATACCTCAAACCCACACCCCACACCCCCACCTCCGACCGCAGTAATTTTTTAGGCAGCCATGGCAAATAGGGTATCTACATCAACAGTAATCTTGCAAGTTAAATATTCCAGTAGATACTCTATTAAAATAGAATTGAATGTTTTTCAAATTCGTACCAAATGTTTCCTTTTCCAGATAAGCTTCTTGGATGACACTTCATTATGGTGACATAAAACAGTTTGGTGACAAACAAGCTCTCTTACAACGATGAAAGATGACAGGATGCGCACCACAATGCTGAATAAACGGAATTGTTTCATTCTGTGTATTTTAGTCACAATTATTATCGGGTATATGTGGTTTTACCCATCATGCCATGGTCTCAAAACAGCGACCTCCATCACAGCGGACGAAGTGTACTCCGTGTGGCCGCAGTTCACAGCAGACACAGTGTTCACGGAGGTACGAGGTTATGAGTGAATGTGTTGGTTTTAACAGTATTCCATTAATATCATGTCAACTTAATGTGGGCGGAAAGCCAGGAGTTGTGTAGGTTAAAGACATTTTGTCATTTTGGTGAAAAACATACTCGTACAGATATTATCCTGACAAACTTAGAACCAGCAAACCAGTGTAACAAGATTATCCTGCCCCGGTCCTCATCTCCGCAGAATTCAGGGCTTTGAAGCCACCATGACAACAAAACACAAGATTTTATATACAAAATTAATATATTTCAAACTCCACACAAATATATATATCCTAGAATCAACAATAAACTAATGTACAGCAGTGTTCTGTTCCTGCTCCAAGTGCTGTGCTAAACGTTTTTATAAATATGTTTCATCATTTCAGAAATATTTTGATGAACGCTGCTTCCGTATGACAGATATGTCAATTGGCAAATTGGATTTCTTTGTGAAGGAATGGGGAATGTCTTCAAAGACTGAATGCAGGTATGGTTGTTGTAACCAGAGTCAAGGACATGTTGTATCTTGGTTTTGTTAAAACATTTACAAAGCTGGATTTGAGCATTTAGATGCAGACTCATATTTATTCCGAATAGCATCCACTATATGTTAATATTTTGCTGTTCAAAGAACACAACGGGCGTTAAGGTAGCCAAGTGGTTAAAGTGTTCGCTCTTCACGCTGAATACCTGGGTTCGAATCCTCGCATGGGTACAATGTGTGAAGCCCATTTCTGGTGTCACCTGCCATGATGTTGCTGGAATATTGCTAAAAGTGGCGTAAAACCATACTCACTCACTCAAAAACAATGAGTGCTGGGTCTGTATAACAGGTAATTAACTTGGTCTGATTAAGGAGTCTTCTTTGTCTCCCTGACCAGTGAATATCTGGGTTAGAATTAGTCTTCGACAAAAGATGATTAACAAGATCGGGTGGTCAGGCTGGTTGACTTGGTTGATCACTGGATTGTCTGGTCTGGACATTTTTACAGACTGCTACCATATAGCTGGGATATTGCTGTTTGCAGTGTTAAACAACAAACAAATAAATCATAGAACACAGGAAAAAATATAGTTGCAGGCAACGATGAGGTCTCCTTGGCTTTACTTTCTATCCATTGTATCTGAGGGCTAGATATCATCGTACAAAACGGAGCCAGAACACATGTTTTGACAGGTGAGCGGATCTTCCAAATACAGCCAGGGCCACGGGGGGTCATGTACCTTTTAAGTAGTTCCGGAGAAGAAATAGTTCCTTCTTTAAAAGGCTGTATCTCAGTTGTTCTTGGGTCTACTTTCAAAACAATTAGTGTTCTGGAATCACCAGGACATCATCTACCATACTGGCATTTGCGGAATAATAAATAATAATAATAATAATAATCCGAACGATTACAATAGGTCTCCTGCCTAGAGGCAAGGAGCCCTAATAATAGGAAAGCAATGAGTGCTGGGTCTTTATAACAGGTAACTAAATTGATCTGATGAGGGAGTCATTCTCCATCTCCCGAAAGATTAAGAGTATCTGAATACCAAGTGATTTAATCATGTTAATTATCTCATTCCTCCCCAGAGATCTCTACCAACGCTTTACAGCTATGTTTTCTGTGTCCAAGAGACCAGCGCCAGTTATCTTGCCCAAACCATTCCAAGCCAAGGTGAAGAACTGGCTAGGTGACAGTGAAGAGTTATTTCAGCAGGTTTATAAGCAGGTATGGTGGTAGACTAACGCTTAGTCTCTGAATATACATAATTTTGATAGTATCAAATAAACCCATTTAGATTAAAAAGGCGCCCAAGTGAGATCATTCTCTTCCAACAGAGGTTACTTGTCATATCTTCCTACGAACCTCTGTTCTAATAAGGCCATATTTCCTGGTTCTTGTAAAATCCCCTAGTGGCAAAAGATCGCAACACGAATTATCTCCCTTCTTTCTATCCAATCAGAACACGTGTTACATCGACTTAGATTCAACTTGACTAACACAAGCAAATGTGAGGCCACAAATCTGCCGGGGACTTGTGTTGATGTTACACACAAGACGTTTAATGGCTAGCTTGTCCGTTGTCAACGAGGGCGATGGAGACGCCACTGATCCGCCATAACATGACTGAGTTCTGTCTAGAAGAAACGTTTGCGCATCGCGCAGGGGAAGAGGTTTAGTTTTCTTAAAGTATACGGAAATTACCGAGGCCTTGCGAATGATCACTTTTGAAACAACGTCGCTGATTGCACAACTAAATCTGATTGCCTCCAATCACAAGTCTTGAACGCTCACACCATGAAAGGGCCGTATTAGAACAGAGGTTATGTAGGAAGATATGACAGGAGTAACCTCTGTGGGAAGAGAATGAAGTGAGAAGGGAGATTCAGAACCTGAGGAAATCGAGACCTGCTTCATTTAGGGCTTAGCATTGCAGAGAGGGCTAGGCGATAGGGCAAATAATGTGCTTCAGGGACTGTGAGACAGACTGGTATGGTTGGAAGTATTAGTGTACATACCAACATTTAAACCTTAATCCATATTGCCTAATGGATTCAAGAGATGATATTGGCAATATTTCTCATACAACATCCTGACACTACAACTTGGTTCAATATCAGACAATGATAGAGCTCACAAAAAGTTCATGGACCTCATGTGATAGGTCTCATTTGATTTGTTTTAGTTCACTCAAATACCAGACTTGCAATACATGTGGTCCTTTCTTAAAACATCAGCAATATAAACCCTTTTTGTATATGTTTTAGAAGTGATTTGTAGGTAATTTGCCTATGGTGGCTTTTAGCTCTTAATATGAAGTAGACCCTAAAGGCTCTTTTATAAATATTCTATTTCATTTACTTGAAACATAAAAATGGTTTTATAAGAGCTATTTATGATAAACTTAATAATTTGTCTATTTGTGACAAAATAATTATCCTTGCTAGGGAGATCCAAAATGCTTCCATACTATAACATGCTTGTTGTAACGCGTTAACTAAACTGGTCTGAGTACTAATCTGAAGACAGGTTAAAAATGCCTCTGAGATCAACCACAGGTGTGAGTGAATGAGGTGGGTACTAAGCTGCTTTTAGGAATATTCAGGCAGTATCACGGCAAGGGACACCAGAAATTGGCTTCACACATTGTATCCATTTGGGGTATCGAACCCGGGTCTTTGGCGTGATGAGCCAACGCTTAACCATTTGCCTACCCCACCGCCCTCCCCACAGGTTTGACATGCTTGCTGTAAGAGGCGAGTAGCGGGATCGTGAGTGAGTGAGTTTAGTTTTACACCGCACTCAGCAATATTCTAGCTGTATGGCGGCGGACTGTAAATAATCGAGTCTGGATCAGACAATCCAGTGATCAACGGCATGAGCATCGACCTGCGCCTTTGGGAACCGATGACGTGTCAACCAAGCCAACGAGCCTGACCACCCGATCCCGTTAGTCGCCTCTTACGACACAGCTAGAATATGATGACATGTCGGCAAGCTAGACCACCCAATCCTGTTACTACCCGAGTAGGTTCAGGTCAGAATGTACCTTCAGTAAACCATACTTGTCGTAAGAGGCGACTCACGGGACCGGGTGGTCAGGCTCGTTGGCTTGGTTGATACGTCATCGGTTCCCAATGGCGCAGATCGATGCTCATGCTGTTCATCACTAGATTGTCTGGTCCAGACTGAATTATTTACGGTCAGTCACCATATAGATGGAATATTTCTGAGTGTGGCCTAAAACAACAAACCAAACCTCACAGATTGTTGAGTCCATATCTGGTTATTTATTAGTGGCCGTTGTGTACTGAAATGGTGCTGAATTGTAAAACGTCAAAAAATGATAAATGTTTTCTCTCTCAGGAAGTGACTCATGTTTTCAACCGGATTACTCGGGAGTACACCATCTTCAACCCTCTGAGGGACAAACGACCGATGAAAACACCTGCTGAGCCGGAGAGACAATAGTAATGTGTTGCATGTTATTTTGCTTACAGATTTCATGTCAGCTATGGTCAGTTGTCAAAAATCATTTCTAAAGAGAAGAGTTTTTGTCCTAAAGTCATCCGTAACAGCATGTGTGGTATTGTTGGTGGGTAACAAAGACAAAATTCAACTGTGACAATACATTTTTGGGAAATAGAAGTCTTGGAACATTTTGAAGATTTTTTGTGACATCACAGGGCTCGATTTAGTGCTTTGTTGCTTGCACTGGTGCAACCCAATATTACAAAGTGCAACCTAGTTATTAGTCTAACATGCACCAGGTGCAAGTCAATTTTTGAGTGGGTAAACTTCTGAATAAAACATCTAAATAATTCATTAGCATATTTCTGATATTACATATTGCAATAAAACAGTGCAACTTGAATTTGACTGGTGCAACTAGGTTTTTATCTTAGGTTGCACCTGGTGCAAGTGGGATAAAACATCTCTTAAGTCAAGCCCTGCATTATTGAAATTAATTAATATAGTGGCATTTGTCTGGCGGGCATAGTAAAGATTTCTCTTATTAATTTGTTTCCACCAAACTGGTTAGTGGAAGTTGTATATAATTCATGCATGTACAATTCTCTTTCAGCCATCCATTTGTTTTTATCTTTTTTAATACTTTTATGATACACTGACAAACTGCGTGACCTTTACCTTTTGAGGGGCGATGAGATAGCCTAGTGGTTAAAGCATTTGCTCATCACGCTGAAGACCCGGGTTCAAATCCCTACATTGGTACATTGCGTGGAGTCCATTTGTGGTGTGACATTGCTGGAATATTGCTAAAAGCGGTGTCAAACTTAACTCACTCACTTCACCTTTCAAAGTTACGTCTGCCCAAATAGCCTTTGTTCTTTCTTGGGTAACTGTGCTGCACAACTTACTATTAAGTATATACATGGGTTTCTTATCCAGCTCGACCCGTGAAGGTACGGGTTAGAATATTGATCTTCAGTAACCCATCGTAAGAGGTGACTAACAGGTTGACACATGTCATCGGTTCGCAATTTTTATGCCAGGGAATTGCTGGATGTGTTTAGGGGAAACCTGAATTTGATGACAGGTTGATAAGAAGACTCGCGTTATTGCATCATTAGATAACGCCAATAAGCGTTTGATGCAACTTATTTTAAGGATACCCTTCAGGGTGCGATTTTGCTATTTACAACCTGCACAGGTGCATGTTAAAAATGGCTGGTGTAGGTTACCTTTAGTAACAGGGTGCAGGTAAGATCCTCCAACATCTTGTAGTGACATTGAAGTAAGTGACTGGAAGTAATACGTTTTTTTCCACAAGAAATATTTGTGTAGTTATCAGTAATCATATATCTGTGATTTATAGATAAGGTAATGTCAAATTGAAACAGAATCATTTATCACTTATCATCATGGGGTACTTGTTAAGAAAATTGCTGAACAAAGAGTTTTATCTTACCTCACAAATTAATGTCGTTTTCTGATTGGCTGAGTCAATCAATGTGCCCCGTGGGTAACATTTTCTATGTTACCTGCTTGAAAGGCCGAACTGTGGAATTCGTTTGGTACTTCGTGTTAGTAGTGTTTGGGCTGTTGCCTAACTCCGATATTCCATATTTGATCCAATACCCGAGCTTCAAACAGTTCAAAATTAACATTGAGGTGTTTGGTAAGATAAATAAGTTATTCACGTCCGCCCGGAGAACGGAACGTCGCGGGTTCGATCCCCCGACCGCGTCATACCAAAAGACGTTAAAATATGGTACTTGTTGGTCCCTGCCTGGCGCTCGGCATTAATGGGTACAACAAGGACTGGTCGGCTCGGAGTCAGTATAATGTGTCTGAGTGGGGTATTCATGCTTCACTGCGGCATGGTATCTCAGTGGGCTAGCACTATAAAACCAGCTCAAGTCTGGGCTAGTACAAGCAGCCGCACATACAAGAATAAACACGCGTGCACGTCGTCATATGAGCGAAATATTCTCAAGCACAACGTTAAACCCAATTTCACCTCAACTCACCTTGAGCCTGAAGGGTGAGAAAAACAAACACAGAGGGTACATCAGCCCATGTCCCTCCTCGTGACCAGTGAACAACTTATAATGTTACTTTTTAGAACCAGTGACATTATTTCATGGTGCAACCTAAATGTTTTGGTGCAGCCAAACAAATAAGCCCGGTTGCACTGCAGGTACTGAATAAAAAATGAATTGCACCATGCCCTTAATTACTGCTTCATTAAGGATTTAATGAGTCTGTAGGTCTTAATGTCGCCATTAGTAATGAAGGTTTGATACAACTAGGTCCTGATCATCAGACAACGACCCAGGGGCGGTGTGGTAGCCTAATGGTTAAAGCATTCGCTCGTCACGCCCAAGACCCGGGTTCGAATCCCCCCATGGGCACAATGTGTGAAGCCCATTTCTGGTGTCCCCCGCCGTGATGTTGCTGGAATATTGCTAAAAGCGGCGTAAAACCAAACTCAGTCAGTCAGACAATGACCTTCAGCCTTGTGAAGAATCATGGACGGCAGGAACTAGATCATGACTTTTCTTCAAACAGATAATAAATTAACAGCAATCCATGCTGTATTCTGAGTTTCCTGAGATTGAGGTCAAGGCTTTGTTAGCCGCTTATGTCAAGCAATGTTGCGAAAGACACAGAATCTGGGCTTGCCTGTAGAAAACTACAACTATGCAACAATGAATACTACTGCTACCACTACATCTAGTCATGTTGTGACTGAAATATTGCCGATGTGAAGAAGAATATGAACTCACTCACTTTACTATCACAACTACTATTACTATTACTTGGGCGGTGGGGTAGCCTTGTGGTCAATGCGCTCACTCGTCACACCGAAGACCCGGGTTCGATTCCCCACATGGGTACAATGTGTGAAGTCTGTTTCTTGTGTGCCCCGCCATGATACTGCTGGAATATTGCTAAAAGTGGCGTAAAAACTAAACTCACTCACTCACTACTACTACTACTATGTGACAATGACTACTACTACCACTACTACCACTACTACTCTACCATTGGACCCGAGAAGATCCGGGTTAGAATTGATCTTCAGTAATTCATGCTTGTCATAAAAGGCAACTAACAGGATCGGGTGGTCAGGCTTGCTGAATTATTTTTTTTTCCACATTTTTTTATTCACATCAGTAGGTACATTCACTCTATACAAAAGCCATACACGTTGACAGGTCACATATCTAGTTACAATCGTTTTATACAAATATCATCCAAACAAAGTTTGGCAATTAGGTAAGTCGGTGCTATGAGTCATATTACTTGGTTGCTCCTGGGTTCATTTGGTTCGTTTGGTTCAGGCTTGCTGACTTGGTTGACACATGTCATCGTATCCCAATTGTGTAGATCGGGTGGTCAGGCAGGCTGGCTGGCTTGGTTGACACGTGTAATCTGTTCCCAGTTGCACAGATCGATGCTCTTGCTGTTGATCACTGGATTGTCTGGTCCAGATTATTTACAGACCGCCACCATATAGCTGGAATATTGCTGAGTCCGGCGTAAAACCAAACTCACTCACTACTACTACTGTTACAAAAGAGATAATTAGAGAAGTACATATTCATCTTCACTTCTTCACTTTTGGAGACAATGAATACTACTACTACTACTACTACTACTACTACTACTACTACTACTACTACTACTACTACTACTACTACAACTACTACAGAAGACATAAAAAGAAAAGTAAATATGCATCTTCATGTCTTCACTTTTGTGTCCAGACAAATTAGAACAGGCAACTTTGGAGCGAAACAGATAAAATTTTCAAGTGGCCAGTCCTGTGATCTGGGGGGTATGTTTTGATAGATCTGAGGCTAGTAAATCCATGTTACCAAAAGTACTGGAGCCACATTCCACGAAGCAATGACAGGGAAGTGGTTCTTGTAAGGATGTGTTAAAGTATCAGAGTTTAGAGCATCTTAGTGTTAACATCGCTTAATTTCATCAGCCTGTGTACAATAGGGCCTGTAAGTCTCGCAAGGCGCTACTTATGGTACCAATCTGGTTCCCGGCTCCCTTTGCACGCGCCAACTTGCGATATGTGAGACAGGGCTCAACTTACTTCCGGTACCAGATTTCCGGTGACAGGCGTATATTCAAGAACAAGTTCTGGTTCCAAATTGTGCGACCACCAAATATTACTTTACTAGACCGGACCAAGTGTACAACCATGCGTGGCTGTCACAGCTGTCGACAGTCATAATAGTTAGCTGATTCGGGGATGTGTAGATCGGAAATTTGTTATTCCTGCAAGGATTATCGGTTCCTTACTGTCAACTGACAACCATGAGACCATTCAAAAAGGTATGAAACGTTTGTCCCCGGAAGTACGAAGGTCTCGTGAAGTGCCGTGACCTGTGGTATACATATGTTAATCATTTCCATGATCACCATGGTGATATGACCTTCAATAAATATCTCCTCATCATTATTCTGAAATATTGGTAAACCTATACTGGTTAGATGTTAGAATTTACACACATAATTCAGTGCCTGAGATCCAAGTGGTGTAATTATTTTAGATTATCTGTGTTGCTGTTATTAACAGCTTATGTTGATGCAAGAATAAAAGTTAGCCTACTATCCAGACAGCTTTATTAATGATAAATCTGTCTATTCTAGTCTAGTAGAATGTCTGACAGTTATCACTACATGTTATCACTGTATGGCTGAGTTGACTTTGTTGGTTATTTCTATCCCTGACTGTGTTATGTTGTGTTTCAGTGTAGAAAGACTGGTTGTCAACAGTAGGGAATCCTGCGATTTCTGCAATTATAAAAAGTAAGTACCATTGGATCACGACACAGAACAAAACTCTGAGGAATCTTTGTTATCATTTAATACGTATTCCATGCAGATTTCTGCACTGGACCTGCCCTGTTCCCTAACTCTCATGTGGGAATGGGAGAGGCATGCAAATGTTTCGAAATGGTTGTACAGTGGGGTTTTGTGTGGTTTGGGGGTATGGGTGAAAACATTTTAGCTGTATGTAGGGTTGCTGAAAAAAGTCTCACATAAAATTGGGGGAGTGTGAGCAAAATATGATGATGTCCATACTGTGATGTATGATCTTAGTACTGTGATGTATGATCTTAGTACTGTGATGTATGAACCTAGTTCTGCAGTGTATGATACAAGCACTCTAATGTATGATACAAGCACTCTAATGTATGATCCAAGCACTGCCATGTATGATACAAGCACTGCCATGTATGATACAAGCACTCTAATGTATGATCCAAGCACTGCCATGTATGATACAAGCACTGCCATGTATGATCAAAGCACTGTAATGTATGATACAAGCACTGTCATGTATGATCAAAGCACTGTAATGTATGATACAAGCACTGTCATGTATGATCAAACCACTGTAATGTATGATGCAAGCACTGTCATGTATGATCCAAGCACTGTCATGTATGATACAAGCACTGCCATGTATGATCAAAGCACTGTCATGTATGATACAAGCACTTTCATGTATGATCCAAGCTCTGTCATGTATGATGCAAGCATGATCCAAGCACTGTCATGTATGATCCAAGCACTGCCATGTATGATACAAGCACTGTCATGTATGATACAAGCACTGCCATGTATGATACAAGCACTGTCATGTTTGATCCAAGCTCTTTCATGTATGATACAAGCACTGAAATGTATGATACAAGCACTGTCATGTATGATGCAAGCACTGTCATGTATGATCAAACCACTGTAATGTATGATCCAAGCACTGCCATGTATGATACAAGCACTGTCATGTATGATCAAAGCACTGTAATGTATGATACAAGCACTGTCATGTATGATCAAACCACTGTAATGTATGATGCAAGCACTGTCATGTATGATCCAAGCACTGTCATGTATGATACAAGCACTGCCATGTATGATCAAAGCACTGTCATGTATGATACAAGCACTTTCATGTATGATCCAAGCTCTGTCATGTATGATGCAAGCATGATCCAAGCACTGTCATGTATGATCCAAGCACTGCCATGTATGATACAAGCACTGTCATGTATGATACAAGCACTGCCATGTATGATACAAGCACATTCATGTTTGATCCAAGCTCTTTCATGTATGATACAAGCACTGAAATGTATGATACAAGCACTGTCATGTATGATACAAGCACTGCAATGTATGATACAAGCACTGTCATGTATGATACAAGCACTGTCAGGTATGATACAAGCACAAGCACTGTCATGTATGATCCAAGCACTGCAATGTATGATCCAAGCACTGCAATGTATGATCCTAATTCTGGGATATGTGATCCAAGTAGAGCGATGTATTAAGCACGGAACCCCGATTCCAGTGACAATCCGTGCCTCAGGTAACAATACTGTGATGTTCCCAGTTTCACGGCAGAGCATGAGACACACCGCCTCGAGTCTTCCATGTCCTACACAGCATCAAACACCTTCAAGATGGAGAAGTGGCACGCCCTGTTCATGTTTAAAAAACATCACCCTCTCAACTGGAACAGGGCTGAGTTCATGGATCTCATGAAACTCTCACAAGAGTGGTAGGTAGTTGACTCGTACAATAGGTGTGTCCCAGCCTTCGCTCTGTATCGACCTGTGAAGATCGAGGTTAGAATATATTGATCTAACCCCTTAGATATGTTTAATACAACTTGTAAGACTAATGGCATATGTCACCTGTTGTTGTTTGTATTACGTTGATCGTAAAATGGTTTTAGGATGTGTAAGAAACGGGTCACTGAACTTGTGATTGTCAAATAACATTTATCTTACAACTCATCACAAATTGGTCTTCAGTAACCCATGCTTGTCGTAAGAGGCGACTAATAACATCGGTTGATCAGACTCACGACTCATCATATTTTGTAGAAGGATGCTCATGCTGTTTATCACTGGATGGTCTGGTCCAGACTTGATTATTTACAGAAGGCCGCCATATAGATGGAATATTGCTGAGTGCGGCAAAAAACCAACCAACCCTGTCAGTCCCTAATAATGTTTGTCTGTCCAGGTTCAAGGTCGCCCTCAAACGAGACCCCGTCGCTCAGTACCCCCAGATGGTGTGGGACATGTTCCCCCATGCCGGCGCCAGCCAGATACACCCCCATGTACATGGATTCCTCACCCCACACATGTACCACGGTCAGTATTGCTCAATAGCATTGTTGTGTTCAATTGTTTCATTTGATTCAGGGGTGGAAATAACTTTAAAATTGCTAGTGTACTCCGGTACAGTGGCACATGTAAAATCACTTTGCCCTGATAATTTTTCCACTATACCGGCCATTTTCTTGTTGATTTTTAAAATAAACAACATAATTAATATTGGAAAATCAACTGGACACTGGTACAGTGTGATATACAAATTTGCTTGCCCGACAGAAAAAAACACTGGACTCGGGCATCGGGCAATGGGTTATTTCCACCCTGTGATTCTTTGGTAAAGCACCTGATCCCTCTTCAGAACAATAGCAAGACAATTTTTAAAACTTTTTGATGAATGAAATAATAGTGGTTTGACATTTTCACTTTAGATAACGCTGTTCAGTACTATGCATTATGACATTTAGCAATTACTTTTTGGGTCTTAACCAATTCTAACCTGGATCTGCATGGGTCCTTGTGAGTGTAGGTGTGGTGGAAGCCGCGGAACCCGATTCCAGTGACAATCCGTGCCTCAGGTAACAATACTGTGATGTTCCCAGTTTCACGGCAGAGCATGAGACACACCGCCTCGAGTCTTCCATGTCCTACACAGCATCAAACACCTTCAAGATGGAGAAGTGGCACGCCCTGTTCATGTTTAAAAAACATCACCCTCTCAACTGGAACAGGGCTGAGTTCATGGATCTCATGAAACTCTCACAAGAGTGGTAGGTAGTTGACTCGTACAATAGGTGTGTCCCAGCCTTCGCTCTGTATCGACCTGTGAAGATCGAGGTTAGAATATATTGATCTAACCCCTTAGATATGTTTAATACAACTTGTAAGACTAATGGCATATGTCACCTGTTGTTGTTTGTATTACGTTGATCGTAAAATGGTTTTAGGATGTGTAAGAAACGGGTCACTGAACTTGTGATTGTCAAATAACATTTATCTTACAACTCATCACAAATTGGTCTTCAGTAACCCATGCTTGTCGTAAGAGGCGACTAATAACATCGGTTGATCAGACTCACGACTCATCATATTTTGTAGAAGGATGCTCATGCTGTTTATCACTGGATGGTCTGGTCCAGACTTGATTATTTACAGAAGGCCGCCATATAGATGGAATATTGCTGAGTGCGGCAAAAAACCAACCAACCCTGTCAGTCCCTAATAATGTTTGTCTGTCCAGGTTCAAGGTCGCCCACAAACGAGACCCCGTCGCTCAGTACCCCCAGATGGTGTGGGACATGTTCCCCCATGCCGGCGCCAGCCAGATACACCCCCATGTACATGGATTCCTCACCCCACACATGTACCACGGTCAGTATTGCTCAATAGCATTGTTGTGTTCAATTGTTTCATTTGATTCAGGGGTGGAAATAACTTTAAAATTGCTAGTGTACTCCGGTACAGTGGCACATGTAAAATCACTTGCCCTGATAATTTTTCCACTATACCGGCCATTTTCTTGTTGATTTTAAAAATAAACAACATAATTAATATTGGAAAATCAACTGGACACTGGTACAGTGTGATATACAAATTTGCTTGCCCGACAGAAAAAAACACTGGACTCGGGCATCGGGCAATGGGTTATTTCCACCCCTGTGATTCTTTGGTAAAGCACCTGATCCCTCTTCAGAACAATAGCAAGACAATTTTTAAAACTTTTTGATGAATGAAATAATAGTGGTTTTGACATTTTCACTTTAGATACGCTGTTCAGTACTATGCATTATGACATTTAGCAATTACTTTTTTGGGTCTTAACCAATTCTAACCTGGATCTGCATGGGTCCTTGTGAGTGTAGGTGTGGTGGAAGCGTGGAGGGAAGGAGCGGAGGAGTACTACCGCAGGTTCAACCACAACTACTTCACAGACCTCGTCTCCGTCTACAGTGCGATGGGGCTGTCAGTCCGACATGGGGAAGCTGTGGCCGTTGCGAGTATAGTAAGTATAACATGCACATGTCACATCCAGGGTTTTACCTCGGTTCACAAACATGGGGTTGATGGGAACCCCCAATTGTTGGTTTTAAAGATCCTTGATGACAATCATCCTTGATAATCTCCAGGGTATACGTTACGATCACTCTCCACTATACCCTGGATGCATCCACGGCTTGGGGGCGATGATTTTATTACCTCCCTTGGCTGGCTCCGCATTCTCACAGTAGCCAATCAGCTAAGCCGCCGTTACAACCGAGCTTGCCAGTGTCAACAAAGATTGCGGTCGCAGTTGCAAAGGTTTGTTCGCAGTGCCACTCAGATTTTTTGGGAAATAATAAAGACAAATTCACCGATCTGAAACTTTAAAAAGAATATATGAAAGAACTCTTCTATTTCTTTCAGAGTACCTCTGCATCAATTGTGTTGCCAAGTTTAAACAGTTAGATAATTTAAGACGCGAAAGTGAGTAGTGATTGGTACGCTCAACTTCCCAGCGTAGGCACCTGACTGGATAAAAAGCCAGCAAAGGGAGGTAATAAAATCATCGCCCCCAAGCCGTGGATGCATCCAGGGTATAGTGGAGAGTGATCGTAACTTATACCCTGGAGATTATCGAGGATTGATGACAATATGAGAGTCCTGTTAAGTAACAGTGTGGGGAGGTGTACGTTTTGATAGTTTCTGTAGAGCCTAGAATGAATCATTGATCATGTGGACTGATGGCTGAAATGATGCACATTACTGCTCTGAAAGAAACTACCAAACACCTAGCAAAGTCATAGATGTGTTGTGGGTGCAATGAATAATGTACTATTCACACTTTGCTAAGGATCAAATCATGTATTCAACAGAAAACTATTATGTGGGGTCAAATTTGGTTTAAATACCTAAGCTTATTGTAAGCATGGTTCCTAGGTTTCAGTATGTCATTGCATCTTGTGGATCCCATACCTGCAACTGACGTGTTGTTTATTTGTCAGTGACTTGTTCCATGATTTACAAAATGGTTGATTGGTGCCATGAAAACCATTTTTATGGTTACTCATGTATCAAGTGCATAAGGTTACCATATTATTATTTATCCAGTTTTAAATGGATACAATTTCGAAATTATGAATCTACGTTTAAGTAAAGTTGTGAATTTCTGTGATCCTTAGCAAAGTGTGAGTAGTATATTTAAGAATTTAGGTGGCTCTTTTGCATTGGATCTGTTAACACAGTTGTGATGCTGGTCTGTTGTCATGGGTCTGTTTGGCCCGTTAGTGTAGACAATATGTGTTTTGAGCTCAACATATGTACTGATTTTTTACTTGATTCAGAGTAGAGATACAATTTCAAATTATAAATCTACGTTTAAGTAAAGGTGTGAAATTTTGTGATCCTTAGCAAAGTGTGAGTAGTATACATCCCTCTGGACACAGTGAATTGTTGTTCTGCATCCATTCTCTACATTTGTTCAGAGATTTACATGGAGTCCTGTATTTGAGGGTCCCTGGGACTCATACTCTTAATTTTCCGGGGTCTTGGACTACAAAATGAGGGTCCCAGACACTTATATATTATTATTGATACTGTTATTGTATTATGTATCATGATCATATCATTGTTACAGTAATTAAACTGAAAATGATACCATAACCCAGCTAGTAAAATAAAATATTGACACAGTTCACTATTTGTTAGGGAGGAGTGCAGAGAAAGGGACAGCCAGGTGTTCGAGAACGGATGGAGACGGCACAGCACAGGTTAATGAATAAATAACTTTGTCTGTGAACGTGCTTCTCCAACACCTGGCTGTCCCTTTCTCTGCACTCCTCCCTCGTAACAAACTGAACTGTGTCAATATTTTAATGATAGTTTGTTAAACAACTTTATTATTTTTAGGATAAAAATTCTGCAAAAACCTCACAGAGTGGGTATGATGTTTTGATTATGATCAGCGTTTCATTGAGTATGTTATGTTTATTAGTTTTTCGAGTTAGATTGCAATTCATTGGTCCGCTTTTTCAGAGTCCCTGTGGACGCGCTTATACATTTTGTTGCGTCCACTGTCAATTTTATGAGCATAGGACGCAGGAATTCGCGTCCTGTAAATCCCTGTGTGGACAGGATGCACATTTACATGTCCTGTAAATCCCTGTGTGGACTGGATGCACATTTACATGTCCTGTAAATCCCTGGGTGGACTGGATGCACATTTACGTGGACTGGATTCACATATACATGTCCTGTAAATCCCTGTGTGGACTGGATGCACATTTACATGTCCTGTAAATCGCTGTGTGGACTGGATGCACATTTGCATGTCCTGTAAATCCCTGTGTAGACTGGATGCACATTTACATGTCCTGTAAATCCCTGTGTGGACTTGAGGCACATTTACATGTCCTGTAAATCCCTGTGTGGACTGGATGCACATTTACATGTCCTGTAAAACCCTGCACGTCCATTTCACCAATGATGTTTTCTGATGACTTTCATTTTGTCTGAAGATTACTTCTGTGAAGTTGTTGGTTAGATATAGGATGATCAGTGGTTTTTTGTTCTCAAATATATCATTTGTCAATAATTGTATGAAAGTATTAAAAGTTTGTTGTGTTGACATATGTAACATCAGAGACACTTGGATGAGATTCTCCATATGTTGCAATACTTTTTAAATGGTATCCTATATTCATTTAGTGACGAAACAACTTTTTTTTGTTTTGAAAGTGATATCTTTAATGAAAGCTCTTACCCAGAGTTCCATGCTTTCATCGTATTACCTCTGCCAGGTGTACATTGGTTACGTCTTACATTCAAGACATTGTGTATGATTTTCATCCGTTTTGTGTTTGACAAGTTACACAACTGGATAAAATCTGTGAAAATGTCCTCAAACGTGAAACACTATTTCCTTTCCCGTTGTTGTGTACATTGTCGGACGTCTCCAAATGCTGTCGTTGGAGAGCTAGCAAAATAGTCACTGTGATGCAGGGTTTTACCTCGACTCACAAACATGGGGGTCTGAGGGACCCCTAATTATCAGTTTTAGGGGGTCCTTGCAGACAATATGAGGGTCCTGTGAAGTAACAGTGTAGAGAACTGTATGTTTTGATAATTTCTTTAGAGCCTGGAATGAATCATTGATCATATGGACTGGTGGATGAAATGATGCTCGTAACTAGCTCTGAATGAAACAACCAAATACTTAGCAGAGTCATAGATGTGTTGTGGGTACAATGAATAATATTGTGCGTCCCTCAGGATGCAGTGAAATTTAATCATGCGTCCATTCTCTACATTTGTGCGTACGGGATGCACATTTGCACGTTGCGTAAAACCCTGGTGATGTAGAAGTATAATGTCATTGACATCTGTGGTGCATTTGTACGAGCATATTTATATATTTGTGCTAAACAATGAGTAGAGTGCACTGAGAGGCTTGCATTAGGCAAGTCTGTACTGATGTCACAGTAAGCATACATGTATGTATTCTGTGGTGTGCATGTGGTCCCGTGCATAGAGCTCAGGTCACAAATCAGTTGAAGTTTAGCAACGCTGGGCGCAGAGAGTTCTTGGGTGGGTGACTGAGTTTGGCAGCTTGACTCATGAGAGTTTCCAGGACTTCAGTCCTGCCCCTCAATGATCTACATGTGCTACCTGTGGTCTCACCTGAGGCAAGTGAGTTTGTTCACAATTGCCTCTGTTCACCCAGCAGAAAATGGGTACCCGGTGGGATAAGTCATGTGACTAATAACCTAGCGCCTCACTGGCAGGTTGGGTTATAAGGGGTAATAAAAGTTGGAGTGTTAGCGCTATGAGCGGAGTTTAGTGAATGGAGTTTAGCTCATTATAAATGCACTTGTTATGTATTTGCAAACACAAAGAAATCTTGTCATGTGATATGGAAATTAGTCTGTGGCAGTTGTGTAATACTGAGGCATCACTTCACCCAACTTTAGTACAAGTACATTGATAGAGCATCATATTAGTGCATTCAACCTTATGTATTAAAAAAGGCAATGTCATGGTAGGAGAGAAATGGGCTTGATGTCTGAATCATTGACTTAGTTGATGAATTTCATTATATCCCAATTAAATTAGATCGCCGCTCACGATGTCATTTACTGAATTCATAACTCATACACTGTTGGATGTTCTGAAAATTAACCTGTTGTGGGGCACACTGCCTGTTTAGATCATTCTCTCAGAAATTTTATTTTATTCCATGTCTGACAAAAATTCCAGCCCATCCTTCCCCGTATTGTAGAATTGATCATTTAGGAGAATATGGAGAAGCATTTCATTCCTGGTTTGTTGCAGGCTCCAAAGAAGGACCATGAAGTGATCATCTTTAGCCCCACATCTGGGGAGAGCTTCTTCCAGCTTATCTACTATACACTTCGAGGTCAGTTGGCAATTCTTGGTGTGGATTCTTAATAACTGTCGATTCATTGAGAGTCTTCAGCAACCCATGCTTGTCGTAAGATGTGACTAACAGGATCACGTGGTCGGGCACGCTGACTTGGTTGAAACATGTCATCGGTTCCCAAATGTGTAGATGGATGCACCTGATGTTGATCACTGGAGTGCCAGGGCCTAGATTTTCGTAGCTCTCTTAGCGCTAAGATAGTCGTATGTGCCATACATTAACATTAACTTACGACTATTTTTGTGTGAAGAGAGTTTCGAAAATCTACAGTCCGTTTGAGTCAGAAACGGACCAATGAATTGCAAATTTTATCATTGTACAAAATTGCCACATAAATATAAATAGTACACATGTTTATCATTTTACTAATACCCAACAGCTTTTTTATATTTGAAAATTTTCCGGACTCCACCAAAAAAGTTCTTTATGAAACTACCATTAAAATTTTGACACAGTTCACTATTTGTTACGAGGGAGGAGTGCAGAGAAAGGGACAGCCAGGTGTGCGAGAAAGGATGGAGACAGCACAGCACAGGCTAATGAATCAATAACTTGGTGGGCATTTGTGCACGTGTTTCTCTAACACCTGGCTGGTGGAGTCCGGAAAATTTTCAAATATAAGAAAGCTGTTGGATATTAGTAAATGATAAACATGTGTATTATTTATATTTATGTGGCAATTTTGTACAATGATAAAATTTGCAATTCATCGGTCCGTTTCTGACTCAAACGGACTGTAGGCCCTGGTTAAGAATGGAGTATTTACAGACCCTGCCGGAAAGCTGGAATATTGCTGCGTGTGGCATTAAACAACAAAGAAAACCTTACAAGGATTATGTGTCTGTGACGTGTTCTTTACGTTGCAGCCTTCATTGATGATATAGACAAGCTCTGCTTCAGTATGGGTATTGGGCTCCCCCCTTTGGTAAGTAACACTCAAAAGGGAGATAACCCCAAACTGAGGTAATGATCATGAAGAGGCATCAGTTGAGCCATGTGTGTGTTTGGTTTGTTGAAAGGATGAATTGAGACAGCAGTGAAGATTGGTTTTATTCTTTATGTTTGTTTGGTGTTCACATGTAATTCTCAGGATATATTTCCAATTTTCAATTTTGACTGGCAGATTTCTCAGTTATAGAACTATATATTACTGATGAGTGAGTTTAGTCTTACGCCGCTTTTAGCAATATTCCAGCAATATCACGGCGGGGGACAACAGAAATGGGTATCACACATTGTGCCCATGTGGAGAATCGAACCCGGGTCTTCAGCATGATAAGCGAACGCTTTAACCACGAGGCTAACCCACCGCCCCGTTTGGGTGAGGCTGTGAACATGAAGAATGCTTGTTCTAAGTTTACTTTCCACTGAGTGCCCAGATATAGTAAAAGGGACAAAAATGTATGTTGGAATGTCTTTAACACAAAATTGGTCAAGGTTTTCATGTCATGTCATCATATCCTAATTATGTAGATCAATGCTCATGACATCAATCACTAGATTGGCTGGTCCAGACTCAGTTGTTTACAGACCGCCATTATATAGTTGGAGAATTTATGAGCATGGTGTTCAACAACAAACAAACAAGCAAGAAAAGGTTTTTCTATGTCATGTTACCAAATGATTTTTGTCAAATTCCAGGGTTCTGATGCAGGTGCGATTCCAGCGTATGCTCGTGTCGTGACTCGGGGCGCTGTGGCAGATGTCAGGACAGACATGAGCTCCCTCGAGCTGTTCGCTGTGAGTGATCTGTTGGGGAGCCCAGGGACTGATTGTTTATATATCGGTCAGGGGGAATCAGGGAAGGGTCACCAAAAATATTACTGTCTCTAGAGGAAAGAGCGAGTGAGGGAGTATGGTTTTATGCCGCGATATTCCAGCAATATCACGGCGGGGGACACACGAAATAATCTTCTCACATTGTACCCATGTGGTGAATAACCCGGGTTTTTGGTTTGACAAACGAACGTTTTAACCACCAAGATACCCCGATGTCCTCTAGAGGAAGGAAGATGCAAAATTGAGATTTGAATTAAAATTTAAAGTTCTGTGTCTTTTCGGGGAGGGTCATGAAAAAACCTGAGGAACATGGGTCACGTTATCCGAAACTGCCAAACATTTCAGGATTGCCATTATGTTTCTCTCATGTTACTTAGAGCCATCATTGGGGCAGAGTGAGTGAGTGGGTTTGGTTTTACGTTGGTGGGGGACACCAGGAATGGGGTTCACACATTGTACCCATGTGGGGAATTGAACCTGGGTCTTCGGTGTGAAAAAACGTTTTAACCACTAGGCTACCCCACCACCACTCATTGGGGCAGAGCTTGCAGTGGTGTGATGCCGGTGGTTGTAATGTATGGGAGAGGTTTATACATTATTTAAATATTTTTCCTTTTTTCAGGGTACAAACGTAAATATTGATCCCTATAAGGTGATCAAACTGGTTCGTTCCTCCATCAAGCATCGCCATTCTGGATAGGGCATCATAGATGTATGGGCGTGACAATCCTGGTTGCTGCTAGCAGTGCATCATGGGATATATGTGGTGTCTCTATCAATGATAGTGCTAGCAGTGCATCGTGGGATATATGTGGTGTCTCTATCAATGATGGTGCTAGCAGTGCATCATGGGATATATGTGGTGTCACTATCAATGATGGTGCAAGCAGAGCATCATGGGATATGTGTGCTTTCACTATCAATGATGGTGCTAGCAGTGCATCGTGGGATATATGTGGTGTCACTATGCGGGATAGTGCAAATTGTAGAAAATTGAAGATATTTTCAATGTATGGTTTATTCAGAAATATGCACAAACAGAACAGTTTCTTGGCAGCCATGAAACAAATGAATTATTTACATGAAAAATAGCCAAAAGTCAAAAGTTTGGTGTGAATCTGGTCAGCTACAGCATAAGTGTAGTTGTGTGTGAAGTGTGTGTGTGTTAAGCTGATGATGTTCTAGTATGGACAGACAAGTGTTGAACACTGAACATTGACGACACAAAACATGGAGCAGGGATGACCAGCCGTCTGATCTGCCTCAACTCAACTCATACATTCCAACCAATCATCTTTCATGACACAGCCCTTGTTTCCCCTTGTTTCCCCATGTTTCCCCATGTTTCCCCATGTTTCATCATAACGTGTGAGGGACACAAGCCAGCAGCCCATGGCACCACAATTTACTTTACAGATTTGCTTTCCATCGGCACACCTGAACCATATTGGCGGTTCGAATCTAGATTTGCCTGTTTCTACGTATGTCAGCCACAGAACCTAGGGCTGGTTAAAAAGATCGCTAATCGGAAATATCATCAATGGGAATCGTTATTAATCATAATGGATATGAAAATATGTAATTGATAACATCAGAAATTAGCTATTGTGATATAATATTTTTTTTAAATTCACTCAAAAAATACACCAAGTTAAGTTTTTATACATGGACTGCTCCCAAAGTACATTCAGGACAGCATTTTTTAAGGTAATTCAAGCCTTTATATGTCACCACTGATGTGTAATATGTTGATGTCTTTCATATTTTTTAGTAGTTTTTGCTCAGTTACTTCTCCGATATTTATCCATAAGGCCAGACCAATTTTATTTCTTGTTTTACAGATTTTTGTCCTCAGAAAACCTAAAGGCAGGAGGGAAAAAAAATAAAATAAAATCACCAGTCAAAGTAATATTCCTTGTAAATACTCAAAGTATTTTACTTTTGGCAATTTATGAAGTTTAAATGGGGCAAAAAACAATCTAAAGAAACATTTTTCTTGTAAGTTTACATTTTTGGCCAATAAAAATATTAGGATTTTATTTTTTGAGCGGGGAAAATTAATTTTCTTTTTTTTTCTTATTCTTGAAAAATTACATTCAAATAAAATTGGTCTGGCCTAATCGATCGATAGTCATGTAACGATGATCGATGTCTGTGATCGATATTGATAACCTCTGTACATGGTTGTTTCACCAAAGTGGTACACGTGTGACCGGCATCAGTTCTGGATTTCGGTTTTCTTCTTAAATTGGGCTGAAACAGCAGCTTTAACACACTTTAACAGCTTTAAATACACTTTGACCAAAAAAATGGCACAAGAGTATATTTCTTTTTCCTAAAAAGTTAGATATACTCAGCAATTAAAACATAGTAAACATATCAAAGAAGTTTTAATTATAGTATATTTATAGTTATATTAAAAATACATTTTAAAACATATTAATTTCTCCTTGTATACCTCTGCACATAATGCTGTCACTTTTTACTTTTATTACACGTGTTCTGAATATCTTTATGAGATAATTTGGTTATTTGAAACCGTTGTAGTGTAACCAGCTGAAAGTTATCCAACGAGTGTTGTGTAATCAAACTAGGTTATTCAACGATAGTGACGTCATAGTGCCGAACTTTCTTTTGCCACCTCTATATTTTCAATTAACATTCATTCAACTATATTCAAGCAGTTTTTTACCGAAAATGTCAACCAAACAAAACACTACATTTGTGGATAATTAAAAATCAATTTAGGTGTCCTAGGGATTAGTATTATTTTTCAATGGAATATTTTTAATTGTTTGTTTTATCTATAAAGTAGTTGTGACAGAGTTATCTCCCTTTGTTTTGTTTACACCAGTCATCGTCTGCTTGATTTGTCATGATGGATCACACTGTTTTCCCGTCCAGTGTGTAGTAATTAGATCACAAACCTTGTGGATGTTGAATGTGGAAAATATTCCAACTCAATATTTTTTAATAAAAAATAAATAAAAACATTTGGAAAGATCTAGTTGGAATACTTTCCATAATCAGCTCTCGCTCGTTTTAAAATCTCAATATATTTTTGTAGTTTATTATGTTCAAGACAATATCCTGCCTTACGTTTCGCTTTCACCTGTATTGCAGTGTACGTGTCCCAATAACCTGGGATATAAGGAGACACTGTTTGTTTTCATGCCTGTGGATTTTCACATTTTATGGAGACAGACAAAAAGAAGAAATATATTTTGTGGTTCAGCATTACATGTTTTTATTTATGGTACGTTGTTTGACGCATTGCCAGAAGGAAGCAGCATCTCTAATACTGTGTCAAGAGTTTCGTCTTCCAGGATTATATACTTGAAGGCAAAAGAAACGTGATATTGAAAATGCCATTTACGTATCAATGGAGTATTTGAACCTATTTTCTTTTAAATATACACTGGAAGTCGAGTTTGAGGAAAACATAAATCGTGGCCGTATTGCCCAATAAAGTATTGTTTGAGATTGAGGTTAGAAAAATGTTTTTGTTTGTGGAAAGGGAAGCGGTCGCACAAACACAACATTGGAATCAAGATGCACGTGCATCATGCATGCATTCAGGCACAAATTGCCGGCTTGAATGGCAATCTCTCACTTGTTTTCTGAACACAGCAGCTATGGCTAGGTTAACGAGAGGTGTTGATTTACGATATGACGGTCCTGGCGACGTGTTGTTACACGGGGTTGACCACTACGTGGACGGTCATCTGTGCTGTTGGTGGCGTTGTTTCGCTGTCTAAGACGTTCCATCGTTCGTACGCTGCAATTTAAGTCATTAGCAATGACTCGAGCACGTTGACCAGCGTCTAGGCGTCCAATGGCTTGATGTCGTTGATCTCTTGTTAACCTAGCCATAGCTGCTGTGTTCAGAAAAAAGCCAAGCGAACGATTGCCATTCAACTTAAATGTTCAAATACTCCATTGATACTTAAATGTCATTTCCAGTATTGCGACATTTCTCTTGCCTTTCAGTATATATTTACTGATACAGTTACTTGTCCATCGCTGACCAATAACTTTTGGCCTTGATAGATTGTCCTATTGAGGAGGCAATATGTGTTGATTACCCGACAAGTTGCCACCTGACCTTTTAAGCAGAAACATCTATTCCTGGCAAGGAATGAGTCTAATTAAAATCAGTTCTTTTGCACAACTTTTCTGCCTCCTTTGTGGAAATCAAATGAGCTTTCGCATGTCCCTTCAAATCACTTTCTATACAGCGAGCCATTAGCATCAGACTTTTTTGTACAAATCAGCAAAATATTTAGACTGTTGTGTTTTAAGGAAGTTAATCGGACCAGCATATCGGAAAGTGAAGTGAATCGGTCAGTTTCAAATGTAAGTGAGAAAGGCCATGCCCGTAGATTGTAGATATATCAAATATCCTATTTTAATGTCTACAGCCAATAAGGAGCAGATTAGAAACAACAAGGTTGTCAAAGCAGGTTCTAAGGAAATGATGTCAAAACACTTTAGCAAGCTCATACCCGATTGGCTCAAGATCTCATGCATAAATTATCAGGTTTGGGCGTGAATATTTTCTCAGGGTTCACTTCATGTGTCCTCACTCAGATCTTCTCACAGAGGTATCATATCGGGGAAAGAGATCTGATTGTAAGTTCAGTCAGTGAGCCAATCATACTCCTTATGGTACGTGGTTGATGCAATGAAAACATTAAGTTCTGAAGATCTTTCACACCATGACTGTTGCTTCCATATTCAGAAAATGTTCTATAAGTATGTCCATGGCATGTTAACGTTATTTATTCTGTATCTGAAATATCTCCTGTACATATTCCAGCTCTTGTCTCAGAGTTCTTCCACAGTGCTTATTTGTGTTAGCAAAGCATAATGTTCGTTTTTTGAACTTATCCTTTTCACTCTTGTTCAAAGAGACATTTGAAATAATCAATACCTAAAGAACTGGTCACTCACATTTAGGCATCGAGGGGAAGCCTTGAGAGCAAGGGCGGTGGGGTAGCCTAGTGGTCAAAGTGTTCGCTCAAGCCGAAAACCCAGGTTTGATTCCCCACATGGGTGTAATGTGTGAAGTCCACTTCTGGTGTCCCCTGCCGCAATCTTGTTGGAATATAGCTAGAAGCGGTGTAAAAACCATACTCACTCACTGTCCATGAAGTAGGGACCTTATTCTCGTGCCCTCTTCATTAATGAGTGACCAGCTCCCAGTGTACATATATGCTTGTTAATGTGAATGTTGATAAAATGTACAAATATTCTAATTCATTTTGAAAATGGAAAGAAATGCCATAATCAAACTTCTTGTCTTAATCTTTCTTTGAAGTTGTTCAACGATGCACTTAGCACTATTCCAGCATTTTGACAGTGAAGAGGTACATGTTCACTGATAGACAATGTCTTTCTTGCAATAGATGTGACGTTTCGGTGCAGATGCTAACACCCTTATCGATGACTTGCTTGTTAACCGCCTCCGTGGTGTAGTGGTTAGAGCGTCCGCCTGGAGAGCGGAAGGTCGCGGGTTCGATCCCCGACCGTGTCATACCAAAAGACGTTAAAATATGGTACTTGTTGGTCCCTGCCTGGCGCTCGGCATTAATGGGTACATCAAAGACTGGTCGGCTCGGAGTGAGTATAATGTGTCTGAGTGGGGTATTCATGCTTCACTGCGGCATGGTATCTCAGAGGGCTAGCACTATAAAACCAGCTTAAGTCTGGGCTAGTACAAGCAGCCGCACATACACATACACACGCATGCACGTCGTCATATGAGCGAAATATTCTCAAGCACGACGTAAAACCCAATTTCACCTCACCTCACCTCACCTCACCTGCTTATTAACGGTGTTAGCGTCTACACCGAAACGTTCACATCCAATGCAATAAAGAAGTTGTCTATGGATAAAAGTGTTCCCCTTTATCATAACCGCTTCAATATGCCACTTAAAGATGTTTTCGACAGTGGCTTGTAAATAATCAATTGTGGACTTGTAAAGATC